ACAGTCATGCCATCTTCTTCTGGTTGCTGCGCAATGGTGGAGGGTGGGGTTCACTTAACTGGACCCCATAGCCATAGCCATAGGCATCCTTCAGTCTCGAGAGACTATGGTAACATGCTGTGAATCGAGGAGTGTCCTCTCCAGAGCATGAAGCCCAGGTAAGGTAAGGTAACTGGACCTACCATAAATTATATTATGATCATCCTAAAAAATCATACTATGGCTTATTATCAGGTTAGGTCTTATTTTCGGGGAAACAGGGTATGGGGAAGCCTGCCTGTGGTTCCAGGATGCCTCATTCAAATTATTTCAGAATCCTTCCTCCTCATATTTCTTGAGAATTATTTCCCCTCTCTTCCTCTTTCCTTTATTAGATTAATTTTGCTATATGCTGATGTGTGCTGGTGGTGGAATCAAGAAAAAGAAGAAACTAATTGTGAGGGGAGGAAACCCCCCCCCCCATATTCTAGTCATTTTGGTTGGGAGTGCTTTGAGGATTTTTTCATGTTTTTTTTCTTTTTTGCTGTTAAATGCCTCCTTGTTTTTCTTGATTTTTGGAAGGTGGTAGTGTTTGTGTGTATGTGTGTATGTGTGTGTGTGTGTTTCCTGTTAGATATATTTTTTAAAATTATGTAATTTGGTTAATTTACTGTGGATTACTTACTTTGTCTCTGCTTTTTTGAAGTAGTTTTTAAAGGATTCTCTAGCAATTTTGAATTGATTCTCTTGCCTCCTTGCCCCTGCTTTTTTGTCATTATTTGAATGGTTCTTTAGGACTTTTGGATGAGTGCCAGACAAACGTGAATAGGAGAAGTCAAAATGCAAGAACTGGAAGGAGTGTGTCCAGTTCTTGTTTAATTAAAGGACTAGAACCTTAATAACCTAGAAAAAAAAGAAGGGGTGTCCTCTTTGTGATTATATATCTCGGGGGTCCATTCACCAAAGTGTGTCCAGTTCTTGTTTAATTAAAGGACCAGAACCTTAATAACCTAGAAAAAGAAGAAGGGGTGTCCTCTTTGTGACTATATAACTCGGGGGTCCATTCACCAAATTTCAGGAGTTGTAGAAAAGTGTCTGAGGAAGCTTCCCTGCAAATTTGGTGTCTCTAAGTGTTTGGGGACCAGTGTTATAGCCATTTAAAGTGCAGACAAGTCAACGGATTGATCCCGTTGATTTGTCAAAGAATATTCGTATATTCCTATTCATTGGTCCATTAACCTTGACAACTAACGGATCAGAACGAATCGCCATTTTTTTTATTTGTCCCCATCTACTGATAATGCATGTTCAGCTGTTTCCTCTCTATAAAACCAAATTTTGCTTTCCAGGATAAAAGAGAGGATCATTTGGGACAGTTTGTGTTGTCATTGGGCAAAGAAAAATAGCATTCGCTTTTTCGACTTGTTTTGAACCTTTTCTCCCCCTGCCACCCTGGCTGCCCATGAAATCGTTATGTAAGGTGACTGACTTCCCATTATTTTGATAGCTTTGTTCCATAGCATCAGCCTCGTCTGACGGTGTGCTTTTGGCTCAGGACAGATATACCACTGATTTAAAACCATCAAGGTGACTGATGGCATTTTAGGTTCATGGATCCCATTAACAGAACAAGTGAAATATGAAAACAATTTGAGTTACCTTGCTGCTCACATTGTATTTCCTTCTTCTGGAGATGAGAAGTTTTCTTTATTGACCAGCTATCATCTCGTAATTGGGTAGGAACAGAAGGCTCTGCAATTTAGCTTATTCTTTTAAAGCACAGGATTTTAAAGGTATAACTCTGAGTCAAAACTGAATCGGATGGTTCTTCATTACTGTATTTTTCCATTTATAAGACGATTCCCCTTTTCTAACACCAAATTAGAAAAAGCAGGGATCAAAGTGCTCCCTTTTTGCTAAGCCCCGTACCTTGGCAAAAGGCAAGGAAAGCAGCTGTCAAAGTGACTGCTGCTTTTCCTTGCCATTTGAGAAGGCATGGAGCTTAGGAAAAAGGAAGGGAGCAACGCCTCTCACCTTTTGAGAAGACACGGAGCTTAGTAAAAAGGAAGGGAGCAGTGCCCCTCACCTTTTGAGAAGGCACGCTTAGCAAAAAGGAAGGGAGCAATGCCTCCCCTTCCTTTTTGCTAAGCCCTGTGCCTTCGCAAAAGGAAGTGGTAAAGAGATGCCTTCTGTGTATGAAACAACCCTCAATTTTTCTCTCAAATAATTTAAAGCAAATATGTCATTTTATACATGGAAAAACACGGTAATTTGGTGAATTCTTGGGTTAGGAGTGGAAAACAAAACTGAAACTTTTGCAGTATGGATGTGAGTTGCTTCTCTCCATTTGGGAGGGGGGTGCATTAGCATGCAGTGAAGACAAATGTTAAGTTGGAAAATAATTCTGCAGTTGGAAACTGGTAGACATGCAGTTGAAAAAACAAAAAGAAATAGACAGTTCCTGTGTGTCTGTTTATTAATAACTTAAATGACAGGCAGTATCATAGAATACCATTTATATAAGGGTTAGGAAGTGCTTGGCTTCCATACTTAAATCAAACTGCCCAAGCTAGCAGGGTGTCATTATTTTCAATGTACAGGAGATGGCATTGCTTATTGTGGCATATATGAAAAATGACTAAGCGTCTGGCCATTTGGCACTTCGGAGGTAACAGCTGCCTGTTGGTTGTTGTAGGGTTTTCAGGCTGTTTGGCTATGTTCTGGAGGTATTTCTTCCTAACGTTTCACCAGTCTCTGTGACCGGCATCTTCAGAGGACAGGAGTTAGAACTCTGTCTGTGTTCTGGTGCAGATAGTTGAGTATTTGTAGCTGTGGGATCAGCTTTTTGCCCTTTTCATGAGATAAGGTGATTATGGTGAACAGGGTGTTTTTTGTTATGGGTGTACTGTTGTGATAAGGGAGGAGATGATCTGCCACTGTGATTGATGGGTGTCGTTAGCTAGTCTATTGTGTGCAGTGATCACCGGTCCTTGTGCCTGAGTAGAGTTCGTTGACCTTTTTGCAGGCTGTATTTTTCAGTGCTGGAAGCCAAGCTTTGTTGAGTTTTAGACTTCTTTTTTATTGAAGCTGTGCTGGTGTTTGTGGATTTCAATGGCTTCCCTATATAGTCTAGCATAATGATTGCTGGTGTTGTCCAGTACTTCTTGAAATCCACAAACACCAGCACAGCTTCAAGAAGAAGAAGAAGAAAAACCTCCAGAGCCTGGCCAAACAGCCCAAAAAACCTACAACAACCATTGGATCCCGTCCATGAAAGCCTTTGAGAATAACAGCCGCCTCTTATCCAACACTGAAGACATTCCAGTGGTTGAGCACTTGGAAAATGGCTACAGAGTCCTGCGCTTAGATGCTAAGGACAGTTCGTAACTGAATAACACTTTGCCTCCTTTCAGTTGTGAAAGCTGGGTGTGTGGGAACAATGTCCAAATGTGGGAAATTCATTGATTGTGAAGATTTACTAATCCAGCCTGGATAGTAAGCAGCATTAGCTAAAATTCTCACTTCTGCACAATTTCACATATTAAAAGAGACTGAAAACTCTTTGTTGCCCTACTGGTGGGTGGCATTGGGATTGTGCACACAGAAATGAAGGCTCAGGAACACTTCTGTTTATGGTTGGCCATATTTTTGCCTGTGTTACTCTCCCACCCACCTTAATGAGAGTGTGTACTGTTCTAATATTGCATCTTAGAAAATGGTTATAAAAAATAAATGATAACATTGAACAGTGCTTCCTTTCCCGTATAGGACTGATAAATAATACTACTAGTAATCATGTGGCATCAATCCAATTCTCACTCAAGGCAATCCTTTTCAGGGTTTTCCAGGTAGAGAATACTCAGAAGTAGTTCACCCCTCCCTTCCTCTAGAGGGCTCCTTGGGACTGTGCAGCTTGTCCATCACTCTGGGGGAATGAGCTGTGGGAAGCAAATGCCTTTCCCGTATAGGACTGATAAATAATACTACTAGTAATCATGTGGCATCAATCCAATTCTCACTCAAGGCAATCCTTTTCAGGGTTTTCCAGGTAGAGAATACTCAGAAGTAGTTCCCCCCTCCCTTCCTCTAGAGGGCTCCTTGGGACTGTGCAGCTTGTCCATCACTCTGGGGGAATGGGCTGTGGGAAGCAAATGCCCACCTAAATCACTGAACTATCCAGCCAGCTATTCAGAATTGATAAAAGAATGGCATAAGAAAATTTTTTTAGGTTACATCTTGAAGGACCTCAAAAGCAGGGCTTGGAAAGGATTCCTTCCGAAGCTGCGGAAAGCTACTTCTAATAAGACTTTAGAAAGTTCAAAGATCTAAAGGACAGACATTGATTCCCACTATGCCAGTCTCAAAAAGTAATACATTTTTTATAGTACAAAGTAATACATACAATTTTTGTTTATGAAGAAAAATCTGTACATGGCAATTGTCTACATTGCCTACCTGGTAGGTCTACTTCTTTGTGGATTCTGCCCCCAAACCACACACGATTCCGGAGGACCACAATGTCTTGCCCCCAAACCACACACGATTCCGGAGGACTACAATGTCTTGCAAAGGGACGTGGTGGTGCTGCGGGTCAAACCACAGAAGCCTCTGTGCTGCAAGGTCAATAGACCTGCAGTCGTAAGATCGAATCCACGCGATGGAGTGAGCTCCCGTCGCTAGTGCCAGCTCCTGCCAACTTAGCAATTCGAAAGCATGTAAATGCGAGTAGATAAATAGATACCACTTCGGTGGGAAGGTAATAACATTCCATGTCTAGTCCCACTGGCCACGTGATCATGGAAACTGTCTTCGGACAAACGCTGGCTCTATGGCTTGGAAACGGGGAGGAGCACCACGCCCTAGAGTCAGATACGATTAGACTAAATGTCAAGGGGAACCTTTACCTACAGTGTCTTACACTGGCCCATGAGGGTTGAAGTCCCTCTCATCTCCTTGATGAGCACCTTTCTGTGCACACAATCCAAATGCTTACATTCTTGTACATGTTTGTTCCCACTTAGGAAACTATGGTGAAAGTGGCATGGAAGCCTTCAAGGACATGTCAGCCAAGGAGGGAATCTGCATTGCCCATTCCTACAAGATCTACAGCAACGCAGGGGAACAGAGCTTTGACAAGCTTCTGGAGAAGCTAAGAAGCCACTTACCCAAGGCAAGAGTTGTGGCATGCTTCTGCGAGGGCATGACCGTGCGTGGGCTGCTAATGGCGATGAGACGCTTGGGGCTGGCTGGAGAGTTCTTGCTGTTAGGCAGGTGAGTACCTCTATGAATCATTAACATCTTTCTAATAATGGAAAAGAACATTGCAATGGAGTCTGTTTCTCTTGCCCTGAATTGTTGAATAACTCTTATGTCGCTCAATCAGTTGATGGACATGCATCTATTTAAAACTGACTTGCTTTGCTTTTTCATTGCTGAACACCTGTTTTATCCAAAGAAGAAGGAAGAGGCATACCTTCTTGTGTGTGAGAAAAAGAAAAAATGTCTCGTCTCTTATGGGACTCACTGCCTTCCTTTGGCTATAAGTACTTTCACTTAAAGGGGTGTAAAAATAAAATTTGCTGACCAATTAATTCAAAGAACCATCTTTAGTGATCAAAAGAAATTTCTCCGTTGAAGCCATTGCTCAATAAAAGTTGGATCCATTCAATGTTGCATTAGAGTAGACTTTTAAATGGTATCGGATGTATAATATTCCTACAAAAGCAGATGCAAACCCATCACCCACATCCAGAAATTGGAAAAATGACTTTGATTGGACTTCAAATCCCAGAATTCTCCAGGAAATATGAGAGCTGTGATGTTCATTTGAGTCCCGTTGAATTGGTTGGATGTGTCTGCTCATATGGTAGGGGTCATAAGTATCTGTATATCAACAGAGTTGAGCTGGGGCCTTTGTTTTCTCTTCTTTCTTTTATAATAAATTTAATGGGAACATGAAGTATTTGCATCTGATCTGGAGTTGCTTGTTATCTTTATGGAATCAAAAACTAGGGTGAAAAAAGCTAGAGGACTGTTGTTATTCTGACAAAGAATAAATTTGTATGGGCAAAAAAGCATTTAAAATATATATCCCAATTTTCAATGAATTGTAATATCCCATTCTTCTTTCTTTTATAATAAATTTAATGGGAACATGAAGTATTTGCATCTGATCTGGAGTTGCTTGTTATCTTTATGGAATCAAAAGCTAGGGTGAAAAAAGCTAGAGGACTATTGTTATTCTGACAAAGAATAAATTTGTATGGGCAAAAAGCATTTAAAATATATATCCCGATTTTCAGTGAATTGTAATATCCCATAGGACAGCTTCTTTCTTGTTAAAATATACTTACTAAGATATAGAATATACAACATAGGAAGCAACACTTTTCTCTGATTAATTTTAGAAGATGGACAAGATGTTCCTCCAGGGCTAATTGTTTTTAAAGACTGCAGCTTAAGGCATCATGATGGCCACTAGCTTAGACTGCTTTAACAGTGGACCAGACACATTTGCCGAGGGTAATTCTAAAGTGATGGCTCTTAAGCATCTCACAGGAACAGCAAACTTGTTTTCCATTGATGGATCTGGAGATAGACAAAATGGAACCACCTACGTTCAAGAGCAAATCTTGGAGCAATCCAAGAGGAACAGCAAACTTGTTTTCCATTGATGGATCTGGAGATAGACAAAATGGAACCACCTATGTTCAAGAGCAAGTCTTGGAGCAATCCAAGAAATGAATGGTTTATTGTGGGTTTTTCGGGCTCTTTGGCCGTGTTCTGAAGGTTGTTCTTCCTAACGTTTCACCAGTCTCTGTGGCCGGCATCTTCAGAGAACAACACTCTGTGCTCTCACCAAGAAATGAATCTTGGTGGGGGTCCAAAGAGAAAGAATTGTCTTCAGAGGACAACACTCTGTGCTCTCACCAAGAAATAAATCTTGGTGGGGGTCCAAAGTGAAAGAATTAAAAATGGCACTATAAGAACCAACCATGCTCAGTCAAGACAGACTGCTGATTACTGGGGAAGCAGGGGAGCAGTACTAGAAAACTGGAAGAAAGGATTACATAAACTGCCATAGAAAATGGCTGGCTGGCATCCTTAGCAGGAGTATTCCACACTGCAACATCACTGTGGCAAGCCCCCATTAAGAGAGCTAAATGGAATGTTCATGTTTCTGGAGAGAGCTGGCACTCACCTTTGATGGGATTCCATTAAAGAGAATGCTTGTTGTTTTCATGTACCACGTCTGTGTTTCCCAGAGGAATCTGGAAGCCACAGTGGCTGGAAACACAATGGTGAATTTGGTGGACCTCTGGGCTGATGTAGCTGATATGCCATGAGGCTTCGCGGGGTTGCCACTGAAGAGTAAACTTGACCTCTGAACATCTATACAGAGAAGCATTTTGTTTTGGTTTCATTTGTTTGTTCAACCTAGAAACCACCCCAACCAAACACATGCATCCTACACCATACTCCACACTTTCAATATCACCTGTACTACACAGAAAGGCTAAGAAAAGCAGATAGGTTGTGATGAAGAATCACAGAATTTGAAGGGACACCAAAGGCAATTTAGTCCAAAGTAGGAGCTCAAAACTAAAGTTTCCCTGATTAATGACTGTTCAAATTTTGTTTGAACCCTTTGAATGAAATTCACCACTGTTTGAGGCAGCTTGTTCCACTGTTCAACAGCTTCTCATTGTCAGCAAGTTCTAATGTTTTAATTGGAATCCCATTTCATATAACTTGAATCCATTTTTCTCAGTCTTACCTCTGAAGCACCAGGAAACAAACATTTTCTATCTTCCACATGGAAGTCTATGTGGAAGATGACACCAGGAAACAAACATTTTCTATCTTCCATGTGGCCAGCAGGTATCTGAAGACAATTATCATGTCATATCTCAGTCTTGTTTCCTTTAGGCTAAGCTGTCCAGTTCCCAGAGCAGAATCAAACATAAAAGAGGCAAACAACCATAAAACCCAGTGGAGAAAAGCAAAGAGTGTTGCTGCCACTAATAAAGATGGGACCTACCTCTGGGAATGTCTCCTCCAGCCCCGTTCATTCCTTCGCTTCTCTGCCCACAAATAGGGGAGACAATTTCTAGAGGCTATTTACACAGATTGCAAGAATCAGCACCAGGCGCCTAGGCTCAAGTGGGCTTATTAGACATAGAACTTCTCCCGACTTCACACTGTATGGGAGATGGAGCTGAGCTGTCTCCACCTCCTCCTGGCAGCTGCTCACGGGATCAGCTGTTTTGCAGACGTTATAATACAGAACAAGGGGGAACACAAAAGCTGGGAATCTAGCCAGACTGTTTCCAGCTGGAGCTTCAAGCACGGCTGATCATTCATTCATTTACACACATACATACATACATACATACATACATACATACATACATACATACATCATCTGGCCAAAAGCCACTCTGGGCAATTTACAATATATAGAACCATATGACTAAAACAACAATAAACAGAACAGAGAAGAAAAATAATAAAATACAAATAAACAATACTATTAAAGCATAAGTATATATTAACATAAAACATTCCAAACATTTAAGGTGGTAGGCATTGATCAGGTAGACTAGCTAGCTCAGCTAAGTTTGTGGGGATAACATTTTCAAGTGCCCACCTAAATGAGTAGGATTCTAGTGAATTTTCGAAAATCACCAGCGAAGGGGTCAAGCGAATTGCAGGGGTGAGTTCATTCCACGGCCAAGGAGCAACTGCTGAGAAGGCCTGGTTTCTCATCTTCTTCCTCCAGGCCTGTCTCAGGGTTAGCATCCTCAGCTGGCCTGCTTGGAATGTAGGATGGGCAGATCCTGTCGGGAAGTAGGCCTTCTGCCATGCCGTGAGATCCCAAACTGTTTAGGGCTTTATAGGTTAGAACTATCACCTTGAAGCTGGCACGGAAACAGACAGGTAACCAGTGTAAGGTATCCAGAATTGGGGTGTTATGGTATTTATTCATTCCACTAAATAATCTGGCTGGCTGTTTATGTCAGATCATATAAAACATCTACTCGATGCCCTTTCCTGCCGAAGCAAATATTAATAGTGAAATTCTAAATTTTATATGTTTGCATGGAGTATTTGACAGAAGGGCACAAAGTGTTTCATACTTCATTTGCTTGCAGATTTGAAACTACCAACATGGGGTAATTGCTGCTTTTCATCTCAAAATAAAGTTTTGGAAGAAAAATGGCTTTGGGAAGTAATAATACCACTCTTTTGGTTTGGTTTTACTTTGGTTCGACATCATCTGGAATACCGTGTCCAGTTTTGGCCACCACTGCTCAAGAAAGTCCCAAAAGCACAAGCAGGATAGTAAAAGTTCTGGAGACCGAGACCTGTGAAGAACAGTTGAGGGAGTTGGGTGTGCTTCGCTTAAAGGTGTTTAGTGATTTATTACATTTATATCCTGCCCATCTAATGGCAAGCCACTACTTTGGGTGGCCAACAACAAATAAACACATAAACACATGTATCCACCCACCAACAGAAAATATCCAATTCATAAAAATGACAGGAAAAAAGAAAGAAAGAAACTCCCAGTCAGAAGATGGTGGACTCTCCTTTATTTGGTGTTTTGAAATAGAGATAAGAATGTTTTAGCTTGGTATTTCATACAATGGCAGGAGCTCTATTAAATAACTCTTGTTGCTCCTTCAAAATCTTTAAGACCATGAAAATGGTGGGCCAATGGGGGGGAAAGCAATTCTGATTGAATGGTTTTGTGGGTTTTTCGGGCACATTGGCCATGTTCTGAAAGTTGTTCTTCCTAACGTTTCGCCTGTCTCTGTGGCCCGCATCTTCAGAGGACAGCACTCTGTGCTCTGGTGCAGTTTGTTTGGGAGTTGAGTATTTATGGCTGTGAGATCAGTTTTTGTCCTTTTCAGGAGATGGGTGATTATGGTGATCAGTGTGTTTTTTGTTGTGGGCGTATTGTTGTGATGAGGAGAGATTATCTGTCGAAACGTTAGGAAGAACAACTTTCAGAACATGGCCAAAGAGCCCGAAAAACCCACAACAACCATTAGATCCCAGCCGTGAAAGCCTTTGCGAATTCTGATTGAACCTTGCTAATATCTCTTTCCTTAAACTGGAGCCTCTGGATGCTGCTTGACTAAAACTCCTTTTAGTCTCAGACAATAAAGCCAGATGAAGCATGATGGGGGTTGTAGTCTGATGCAAGGGGAACCAAGATTGGCAAAGACTGGGCTAAAGGAAGTTGGAGAAGCAAGCAACGGGAC